AAAACATGCGTTCCCACCCTCATTCCTGCCTGCTCACTCTCTCGTCTACTCAACATGCTCAAGTGTTCTTGCCAAAACTTATATCCAGACATATCAATCCAGTCTTCTGTAGGAACTCCTTATATTGTCTCTTGATCACAAGTAAGGCTTTCTAAGCCTGATGCCTGTTCAACATTTTAGCATCTCCACTGACACTTGGACTAGCAATACTGAGTGACATCCAGGTTTCCAAATGTCCATTCCCCTCTGAATGTTTTCTTGTGATATTCCTCTCTCTCTCTTTTCTATCTGGAAGAATAGCTATTCATCCACTAAAGTTCTGTTCCACACTCACCCTTTCTTTGGTATCTCCTTCGGATCGTCTCAGAATGTATATGTAGCCTGGCAGTGGTGGTTCCGTGGTACAGCTCTCCCCTACCATGTAGGAAGCCAAGTTCAATTCCTTGTTGCTTCGGTCCTCCATACAGCCACCACCCATCTGGTAGCAGAGGCTCCTGCATAGCTATGATGGCTGACCAGGTTGTCAGCAGAGCTCGTCGGCTAAGACAAACTCAGAAGAAAGGCCAGGTGATCTACTTCAGAAAACCCTTTTGGATCAGAGTCATCCAGGCAGCAACGGATCACGAGGACGGCCCAGGACCGAGCAACGTTCAGTTTCCTCGTTCATCGCGCGACGACTGAAGAACAGCTGACAGCATCAGCACCGCTGTCCATGCTTTCATTGTCGTGCATGTTCTACCAAACCATCATGATGTGTTAGAATGCGTCGTCTCCCTTTCTAGGCTGTGGGCTTCCAAAGGACAAAGATCATGTATGTCTTCGTAATCTCTGTGTCTCCAGAAAGCACCAGAATGTCTGACAAATTATAACTGCTCTCGCTTATTTCTTCAGTAAATGAAAGGGCTGGCTTCTCAGAGCGAACACAATATGTGCCTTGTATCATCTATGGGACCAAGATCTAAGAACAGAGGGATCTGATGGGGCTCAGCAGCCTTCCAGTAAATTCTTAGGTTGTAAGCTATGGTTTATGTGCCCATCACATGCGTTCGAATCAGAGATGTGTTATTTCCCCAGCATCTCCTCCAAGTGTCTCGGGCAGATGTTGTTACTCTGACGTCCATGATAAGCGGACCTTCTTAGCAATTTCAGTTATTTCAGTATCAAAATTGCTCTCCGTGAAAGCACTCCCTCATTCCCTCACTGAAGAGCTTGCACATCTCTCTGTAAGGCAAAGCAAATGCAGTTCGGTGTTACATAGCTGAGACCGCGCTGACCAGAGTGAACTGTGAACTGCAGGGCCTGCAGTGGCAGCCCATCCTGATGTGATTAATAGCTGATTTCTGGGAGTCTCTCTTCTGAGTCAGGAGCGTGTCTGCTCCACCTTTTTTCAATTTTAATTTTTGTAAACTGTATAGTGTCAGAATCAACTCGATGGATGTGACCTTTGGTTTATAATATGTTCATAATCAAGGAATAATAAATGAGGACTCTCATTTTTTTTCTAACAGTGTTTCTTCCATGGAAGTTCCTGGGGTAGTATTGTTGATGTGACTTTCTTTTTATATTTATAATTATATTTTGTGCTTTCTGTTATTTTATATTCTTGTGGTCTTGCTCTTCATCTTCGTCCTCTCCTCTCCCTCCTCCTCCTCATAAGGTGCACATTTTACAGAGAAGGGAGAGTAATGCCCTTGGTATTTCTTTTCTGAATGAACTGTTCAAACATAGCATTGAGTAGACCAACAGTGGACCTCCATGTAGTGGGCATCTTTGCCAGCTTCTGTTTCATCAGATCTCATTTGATTTTGATATTACTACAAACTAACAAAAAGAAACAATATGCTTGAGTTGCTTCTGCTATTCTGACTCTTAACAAGCCTACAGGACAGATCAGAACTACCCCCTAGGCTTTCCAAGGATATGATCTTTACAGAAGCAGACTGCCACATCGTTCTCCCACAAATAGCTGGCAGGTTTGAACCATCCACCTTTCAGTTCCCAGCCATGCACTTAGCCACTGAGTCACCTGGAGAATCGTAGAAAAGAGGAGCAGGCTCCCTCCACTCCCAGGGCTCTCGACATGGCTAAAACAGTTGTGCATTAGTTTGGCCAATTTTGAATGATTCGTCTCTAAATCAGATACAATTTGAATCTCGCTTTTCTATATGTCAGATTTTTTTTAAATAGAATTAAAAATCCACTTCATGAAAAGTAAACTTATTAGTTCATTCTTACCTCTCTGCTTCAGTTTCAGTTCTTGATTCAGTGAATGCTAACTGGATAGATCACTGCGTTCTGCTTAGCAACACTGTGAAGAAAATGCTTGAGGCTGCCGTCCTCAGGAACCTTAAGGAAAGTCACATAAAGGGATAACTAGAAAGAAAAAAAGTATCAAGTGAACTGCTCAGGCAGGAGGTTTTACCTCCCCGCTATTATTAATCACAGCTCCCCAGCCTGCTGCCCTTTTTGATTTACTTTGAATGGTTCTTTCCAACATGTGGACAGATGCAGGGACACATCAGGTTCTGTCCCCTGGCTCTCTCGGGCTGCAAGTCTATGGCTCATCTCTTGAAATAAAAAATAGGAAGCTGTATGCAGATGATTGTGTGACTATCAGATGATTAGCTACCCACTTGTCCCGAAGCAAGGTTGATGAGGATTATATGAGTCAGGAAGACAGCATTTCTGTGCATACCTATGTCAGCCATACCTGGAAAACTAAAATCTTATTCAAAACAAAAGCCATGAGCGTGTTCAAGTCTCGGTACCACTGTCCATTATAGCACAAAACATTGTCGGTCCTGTGCCATCCTCACAGTCCGTGCGATGTTTGAGTCTCTTGTTGCAACCACTGTATAAATCCATCTCCTTGAAGGTCTTCCTCAGTTTCAGTGACACTCTGCATCATGTCTACCTCCAAGGTCATGACCTTCTTGAACACGCCCAAAGGAAGGAAAACAGAATCTCAACTTCCTCCCTTCCAAGGAGTATTTTGATTGTACTTCCTCTAAGACAGATTTATTCATTCTTCTGGAGGTTTATGTTATATTTGATATTCTTCTCTGATGCTACAATAAATCGGGCTTTTCACAATCTTCCTTTGTCATTGCCTGCTCCCATCCAGCGTACATCTGAGACAATCTATCGAAGGGCTCATAGCTTAGGTCGGGTGCACTTTACTCCACAAAGTGACACATTTGCTTGTCAACACTTTAAAGAGGTATTGACAGCAGGTTTTCCCAGTGAAATATGTCATTTGACAGTTGCTTCCATGGACTTAGATTTTGGACCCAACTAAAATGAAATCCTTGACAAATTCAACATCTTCTCCATATGAGTATGTAGCTATGTGTATATGATTATGTATGTGTACATGGGAAAGACTTTGGTTTTTAAAAGTTTAATTATATATGATAAAAATTAAATTCATCCTCTGACATCATTCTTGAGATGTCCCCAAAAGCGCCCTACAGGACCCAATGACATTTTCATTTGCATTCTCATTCTTTTTATCCTCAAGATTTTTTTTTTCATTTTTTTCTCTATTTTAACTGCTGGCACTTTAATAGAAACTTTCAAACAGTTGCACTGCAGAGAGTAGTATGTGTAAGTAGAAAGCTGTGGTGCTAAATACCTTTCCTAAAAGGATTAGGTATAGCAACTTCCAAACACTCCACTTAGAAATGAGCCTGCAGCTTCCAAACATTCCACTTAGAAATGAGCCTGTCGGAAATTACCTGTTTCTGAATTGAGAGCCCAGCTGCGCAAGGGCCACATGGCCACAGGCTGCGCTGGACAGAGTACTAATCCTGGAGTCAGAGAAAGCACACCCTTTACAGCCCAGTTGCAGCCCATGGATGACCCAGCGCACGATGCCCCCGTGTGTGCTGTGAGTGGGGCAATGCTCGATTGCCTTTGTAACGGATGAGTTTTTAGAAGTAGATCACCAGGCCTTTCCTCTGAGGTGTGCACTGCCAAACATTTTCATTTCGCAACAGCCTAGTTGCCTTACTCATTTATACCGCCTATGGACCCTCCTGCATCCTTGAAACCAAACCAAACAAACAAACAAAAAACCTTTGCTGCCGAGTCAATTCCGTCTCACTGTGATCCCCTGCATGTCAGAGGAGAACTGTGCTCCACAGGGTGTTTGATGGCTACCAGGAGCCCCGGGGGTGTCGTGGTCGGAATCCTACAGGGGGTCGCTGTGAGTCGGCATTGCCCGGATGGCAGAGAGAAAGAGAATCATATGCAGGAAGCCCTGGTGACCTAGTGGTTCAGCGTTGGGCTGCTAAATACACGGTCAGCAGTTTGAAATCACCAGCCACTCCACTGGAGAAAGACGAGGCTTTCTACTCCCTAGAGAGTCCCACTGTCTAGAACCCACAGTCCAGGAAACGACTCGGTCCTTTATCGATCCGGTCAGGACGAGTCAGAATGTACTCGCTGGCAGTGAGCCACTGGATGGAAGTTGCTCCTCAGCCTCCCTTCTAAAGCACCTCTGGATAGATTTGAAGAGCCAGCCTTTCAATTAGCAGTCTGCAACAAACCGTTATCCTCACCCAAGGCTCTTCGCCTCTCTTTGCCGCTCATCCTGTGAGTCTCTCAGTCCCATCATCTGTTGAATGGGACCTCTGTTGTCCTCTCTGCGTGAAGAATGGATAGTCATGAAATTTAACGAGAAACAGTGTGAAGTGCATTCCTTCACAGCGAGAAGATGGTTGGAATTAGTTATAACACAACATCATTTGCTAATTTAGTTAGGTTTGTTAGCATCATAAAATAATTCATACCTCCTCCAATATTATATTTGGAAAAACATGTACTATACAACTCTTTAGGTGAGTTTAAGTAAAGTTATGTTTTTTAGTACACTTGCAGTTATACATAGCTTCTCTCCATGTTTCGGCATAAATATCGCAAGTGTGTTTACATATATAAATGGCTGTTTGCTTATTAGAATAAAGGTAATTACCCATTGTCGTCATTTTGTCTCATAGAATGATTGAAGATAGTGGGAAAAGAGGCAATACCATGGCAGAAAGAAGACAGCTGTTTGCAGAGATGAGTAAGTATAGAACTTTCCGGGAACATCTTACGGTTCCTGGTGCACGCCAAGGAAAGACTGGAAACAGCCACGCCATCCTTAAGGCTGCCGTGCCTTGCCTTGCCTTAAAAGCTTAATCTCTTTGAATAAACTACATTTGGACTTTTTTTTCCCCTTCATATGAAGTAAGAATTAAATTAGCCAGTGATTCACCAGAATTCGTAACTGGGCTAAAATGTTTACCTGAAAGAAAAAAGTTTCTGGAGATGCGCACACACCTTGATCAACACTGTTCAGCTCTGGTGTTAGTACATCTTCATCTAACTGGAAACTGGAGTATATCTCCATCTCCCGTAGACTACAGTATTAGACACGTAGAGAAACTGAAGCCAATCACTGAACATCTGACCGACAAAATAGTGTCATGCGCTCCCGATGGGCAAATGGGTCAAGCATGATTTGCTGGTCAAAGTACCAGCTGATTTTCAGACCTCACCAACAGGGTGTGAAGGCACCCTGGGAGTGCAGTGGGGTTACCTGTTTAGCTGCCACACTGGGGGATGGTTTGGACGCACCAGCCCCGCCCTGGGAGAATGATGTAGCAATCTGTTCGCCTCCATCCTGCCAGGTTGCTAAGAGTCAGAATCAACTCCACAGCAATGGGGTACTTGGGGCTTTCTTGTTTTGGGGTTTTTTTGAGGTTAAGACTAGGAGAATTGGTTCTACAAGCGGGCTTCTAAATACAAAACAAAAGATGGAAGCAGCTTGAAAGTGGCCTATGATCCAAGTGGAAGCCAAAGCAAGCCAATCTCTAGTGACTCCAGCAGAGAACCCACTCTATAAAGAGCTCCCTGTAGGTAGTTGGTAATGTCTTGTACAAAGGCTAGTTTTCTTTTATTTAAATTTTTTTTAAAAAGTAGAAAAAAGAGAAGAGCTTGACATTGAGGTTGGTACAGATCTCAGATTAAATGTTGTAAAGAAATTAAAAGTAAGATTCTCTTTTCTTTTTATCTCTCCATCCCTGCATTAACAATGAGGATGAGCAAGAAGAGTGAGTTGTAAGCCTCCCCTCCCCACCCCTGAGAAGGCAGTAGACACAATTAGGTTTCTACTGAAAATTGGAACTGATGGGCAAGAATGCAGGGAAGAGGAGATAAAGAAAAGTCTCAGACAATCCCATTTGTACTTCCCTTTATCATCTCCCAGTGATCTGGAAGCACTGAGGGTTGGAACTAACAAAAGGGAAAGAAAATTAAAATTATTGTGTGGAATTTCAATCACGCTCCTGACTTTTTCTCTCAGAGAATTTTCTACTTTAGCGACCGGGCATGAAAATATCCGCGAGAGTTTCAGTCAGACCTTCGAATTCCCGAGGACATAGTTGCTTCTGTAGCTCACTCTTGGCACAGCAGTCACCTGGAATTGTGAACCTGTGACTCGCTGGCCCCCAGAAGAAATATCACAACAGCACAGACGTCTTCCCACATGATAAAGTTTTAGACGGAAAAGGCAACAGGCAAAAACATCACGGGTTAACATCTCATCAGACACACACACATGCACACCATTATTAACATTGAACCTGAAAGAAAAAGGTATTAAGATCTCGAGGGGAACTCTTCAAATGTATCCTTCTCACATCAAAACGGTATCAGGACCCTGGAAGAATTATAAAGGTGTGCTTATTTAATGATTCTGTAAATTCCAGTCTGAGTTGAAGTCCACTTCCCCGTTGCTCTGTACTTGGTGAGTGTGGGGCGCAGAGAATACATGTAGGGAGAACATCCGAGTGCATGGAAGATTTAATTTGCCACCTTAAAAAAAGACAAGTCTTGGATAGAAACAAGCCACCTCTAAATTATTCTCCATGCAAGAGAGAATTAGGAAAACCATGCCCCGATTTCTCCGATCTTAGCTTTATCTTTATATCAAAGTGTCCCAGGGATGTTGTGTAGCTTTTAAAAATAATCTTATGCATTCTCTTGGTGACTGATCAGATTAGCTAAGCAAGCCACAAAAATGTATGTATTTCTTCCATGAGCATGCTATATAATAGATGCCAGTCAAAACAGCTGAATGCATCTGACTTTAACATTTCATGTGTTTGAGCTGATGGCTTAGCGCAGCACCAAGTGGAACACAGTCCACATCCCCTGGGGATGCTGCTGGGAAAAGAGAGGGCTGGTTTCCAAAAAAGGAATTGACTTTGATCCATAGACAGGCATGTGAAAGGGGAAGGTAATCACATAGAGACTGTCAAATAAATAAAAATAAGATGTTGCCCCAGTCCTAGCTGGACACCAAGAAAGAGAGAGAAAGGAACCTGTTAACAATGAAGACGCATCAAATCTGTGATGTTTAGGCAGGAAGTTAAAAAAAAAAAGAGCCTAATTTTTGTAAAGCTAGTCAGCAAAGTATTATCTAGAAACAACAACAAAAAGCCAATACAAAAGTGCTAAATAGAGTCTCACCTCTGGAAATGACAAAAATAAAAAGAGAGAGAGAGAACAATTGATAAGAACGCTTGGCCAATTGGATTTATTGTAGCACGGGTGTGTGTGCTACACATGTACTCTGAGCTCATTCCTACAAGGAGCAAAAGCATTTAGGAAGAACGCTAAACCAAACCAAACTCCCTGTCACTGAGTCGATTCTGGCACAGAGCGCCCCTACAGGAGAGGGTAGAACTGCGCTTGTGGGTTTCTGAGACTGTAACTCTTTAAGGGAGTAGAAAGCTAGAAAGCTTGGTCTTTCTCCCAGGGAGCAGCTAATGGTTTCAAACTGCTAAACTTATAGTTGGACAGGGGTGAAAATGAAGAGCAGTAGATAACACACAATTACACAAACAAAGGACAACCTCATATTTTAAAAGTGAGTGGCCATCTACTTGGTTTTGAGAAATCGGAGCAGGCCACTGTTAACCAAATATTCTATTTAATACAATACCCAAATTATCTTCTTGTTTAACACCTGGGATTAAGACAGAGATACGCTAGTTAAATGTGAATGCCACCCCCACTTTGGCTCTTCCAGTCATTGAGTAAGTTTACGAGTTCCAATAACTTTCTCAGACTGGCTGTTAGCAAAATATGTATTTGCTTGCTCTTGGAATTTAACTCAACTCCCCTTCAGTTTGCTGCCTTGAGTGATCGTTATTTGTTAAGATGTCTGAATCTCTCACTATTGTGAACTCCTACAGGACAGATGCTGGGCAATTCCCTTTGAATCTTCCCATGCATCTTGCATAGCTATTTCAGGGCCTGTGGGATAGTAGCTGCGTAGCTTTATGGGAGGAAGTGACTGGAAACGCTAAGAACAAGAAGTGCTGCCTACGAAGAACAGGAAGGACTGGGGGAGAGTGACAGCACTGTCCTTACCAAGAGAGGGGCACAGATAGGGAGGGGGAGGCACATGCAGGTACTCAGCAACTATGGTAGCATTGTTAGAAAGTAGACAGTCCTGCTACAGGATATTGGCTACGTGCAGCGTGTGCACAGTTGGAATAGAACCTGGGTCATTTTTGGCAGTGCATGCTGTGATATTTTGGAAAGCTGATCTCAAACATTCAGAAAAAAATGGCATACTTGATCCTGTTGCCATATGCTATGGTTGCTATGAGACCATCATGGTTTCCATTTGCTTCTTCGTTGCTCAAACCCCGGTCTCTGTACCAGGCTAATTCCATCCTAGAAATTCTTGAGGGCAACTGGTTTTCATCATAAGCCCATTTGTAAGAATATGGGCTATGCTTTGGGGGAAAATTTTAAATACCTAGGAGACGTGGGAAATATCACCAGAGATAATTCCTTGGAAGAAAATGAAATTGTATGTAGAAAGAGTGAGTCAAGAATAAAGTTTGGTGAAGTCATTTGGCAAAATCTGGAGGGTCATAAAACCAGGGAAAGAAAATCAGAGTGCTCTGAAAAAGCAAGATCTCAAACATTAAGGACAGAGATTCTCTAAATACATTGTAGCTCTAGTCATGTTCCCCGTAGGCACATGTCCAGCTTTCCACTAAATAGCTCACTTTTCCAACTTCCAACTTCTCAAACATGCACACATATCTACTCAACCATCAGATATTAAAAAGAATCTAGGGTTCATAAACTTCATCTTCATCCAATAAAATGTGTTTAAGGAACGCTTTGATGGATGGTATATTTAAAAATCTAAATGACTATATAGAAGGTTGTATCATAATCTACCAAAAGATTAAAGGCAAAATATAAGTGAGTTGTATAAAGCTGTTAAGGGTATCATAAATTTAAATTTCAAAACGATGTTAAGGCTGGATACATAAGTAAATATGGATAGATTGATGATTGGGTGGATAGATGGATTAGCTCATTTACTCCTTATAATAAATTTACTAGCCTGCTAGGTCATGAAAACAATATAACATAAAAAAGAGCCCTAGTTTCACCAAAATATTGATGAAAGTACTTAGATTGCGCATGTATTGAAGAAATATGGGTCAACATAGGGTTTGATAGATTTAGAGGTAGCATCATGGTCATGACCAGGAGATTTATTGCATCAGTCAAGTGGAGGAAGGTCTCCGGTGACTGAAAGGTTTTATCCTTGGCCCTGCTCCAGTCCTCGGTGTTAATCAATGGCTTGCATGAAGTTACAGAAGACACACAGCTACCACAGAGGTAGGCCATGGATTTATAGATTTTTTTTTTTCAAGAAGAGACCACGTGTGTAAAGCTGAATTAAGTTCATGGCTTTAAGGGACAGTGATACCATTTACTTGAAACAAGGTGGATACAGAGCTAGGGACTATGCAGCATGTCTCCATTCCACTTCTTTGGCCCCAGATCCATTCTTCTTAATGCACTGCTATGTCTGAAAACATCTCTTCTGTCGCTCACCATATCAATGTCCGGGACTGACATCATCCCACAGGAAGGACTTACACAAATAGGAATCTTTTGCAGACCTCCATATGTCTGCCTGCTTCTGGAACAAAACACGGGTCAGTTAAGGCCAGGTTGACTCCCAGCAGGGGAGAATAGAATCAGTGCCCTCCTCCGTCAGCACCATGTCTACCTGCCTCTCTGCTCCAGCCCCAGCAGGTGTGAGGACCCTGCTGGAGGTGCTAGTGTTGCTGTCCTGAGAACTGGAAGCCTCACTAGAGCTGAGAAACCGAACTCTGTGTGGCAGCAAAGCCCTTCGATCCTTCCAGCTGAGATCACCGTTCCTGAAGAATGTAGACATATGCTCTACGCCGCTGCTGCTTTCTTTTCAGGGATTAATTTCAGGTACTGAGATTCTCTTGGTTCTTGAGCCAAACTCAGCATCGTAGATGCTGAAATCCTCATCCAAGGGGACCAAGCAGCTTACCTCAGGTATCGCCGATAGTTCCCCTGCCGCTGCATATGCAGCATCCTGAAAAGCCCATTTTCCCACATGAGCCACTCAGATTGACAGAGGCCCCACAACAGAGAAGGAGCTTTGTAACGCTAGTCAGTAAAGCAAACTTGCAAAAGATGTCAGGAAGGCCGGAACGGGAAGTTAAAACTTAACAGCAATTAAACAGGTAAATAGGAAGTCCTGTACTTGTGCCCCCAAACAAACATTTAACTACAAAGTAGAAAAGATCTGACTTAATATAAACACCTAAGTAGCTTTTTAACTACCTGTAAACTCAATCAAACGAGCCCTGGTGATGCACTGGGTTAAGCATTGGGCTGCTAACTGAAAGGCCAGTGCTTTGAGGCCACCAGCTGCTCTACTGGAGAAAAACGAGGCAGTTGGCTTCCATTGAGTTTACAGCCTTGGGAAACCTATGGGACAGGCCTCCCTGACCTTCAGGATTGCTATGAATCAGACTGGACTCAGTGGCCGAGGGTTCAAGTTTCTGGATTTAAGCTCACCAGGAGCTAGCAGCACAAGCTAGTAGTATTTGAACATAGATTTCATTAATAGATGTCCATAGCACAGGTAGCAATACGTGCTTTCTCTATGGTCTGCAGGAGCTCTGGTTTTGCTGTGGGTTAAGCATCGGATGGTTGACTGCAAATTCAGGAGTTCGAACCCACCAACTGCTCTGGGAGAGAAAGACGAAGGTGCCTACCCCTGTAAGGTTTACACTCACAGAAACCCTAAGAAGCCGTTCCACTCTGCCCTGGGAAGACATCAGGAGTCTGGGTTGACTTCGTGGCAGTGGGCTTGGGTTTGGGTTTGATCTAGTCTGTGCAGGTAAGCAGAGAGCTTTGGTACCTGGATGCCAAGCACCAAGTCAGTAGTTGAACTACCAGCTGCTCCTCAAGAGAAAGATGAGGCTGTCCACTCCTATAAAGCTTTAAAGTCTGGGAAAGACAACAGGGCGGTTCGACTCCTTCTGATAGAGCCGCAGTGATTTGGAATCAACTCCACAGCAGTGAGGATGGAGAAGAGGCAAGAGGTGTAACATTGTGGATCACATTTTAAAGAGCCATTAGCGAACCATGGAACAGAGTGATTAGCAAATGTAAGGGGTCTCACAACCCATGCCTAATAATACTAGGAACGTCTATGCACTGAAGTCCTACTATGTGGCAGATGTTGTCCCAGATGCTACACCCACAATGGATGTGGAATTGCAGGCCTTTTGCCTCACAAAGCCAAGAGAAGTTACCTTCCCAACTGAACTTGACCTGCAGGGATGACGAAACATCACTTTCAGATGTTTGAAAAATAAATTATCAAGTGTCAGGGAGACGAGATTAAGTTGTGCCTGGGGTGGTGGGGGAAACTAGGTCAAATGAGTTGAAGTTATAGGAAGGCAAATTAAATCTGAAATAGGAAAAAGAAGTTCGTGTCACTTACCAACTCAAAGACAGTGATTTTTCTCCTGGTTTGATATCATTGGTCAAAAAGAGTCCAGGAAGTCTTTTTTGTGGAGGACCAAATGAAAAACCAAACCCACTACTACTGAGTCCGTTCTGTTCTGATGTATAGCGATCCAATGTGACAGGACAGAACGATGAGGGTTCGGAAGACGACAAATCCTTCTGGAAATAGACTGCCATGTCTTTTTCCCACCGAGCAGCTGATGGGTGCTGCTGCCATGGCCCCACAGTGGAGCCTTTTCAGGATGGCCACCTCCTATTGATTTACATTTACAACACTTAATATGTGTAGTTGAGTAGTGCAATGGTTAATACTCTGAACTGCTAACCCAAAGGTTGGCGGTTTGGGTCTGCCCAGATATACATCTCAGAGGAAAGCGTGTCAAGGTTCTTCTGAAAAACTCAGCCATTGAAAATCGACAGATCACAGTTCGATTCTGACATGTGCGGGGTCACCGTGAGGCAGGATCTGCTGCATAGCAGCTGGTTTGGTACAGAGATCACGGCCTTGCATAGACTCACTGCCATCGAGTCAATTCCAACTCATAGCAACCCTGCAGGTTCTACAGAGTAGAACCGCCGTGCTGGGTTTCTGAGACTGCAACTGTTTCAGGAGGAGAGAGCCTAGCCTTTCCTCCAAGGAGCAGCTGGTGATTTCAAACTACTGGCCTTGAGTTAGCAGCCCAACACATAACCATTACTCCGCCAGGGCCCAGCCTTTCCTATATTATCAGCTAAACAGTGAAGTAGGTCCTCTTGTCCCCATTTTACACACAGGAAAATTGAGACTCCAAGTAAACACATGGCTAGGAAGTGACAGATTTAAGTTCTATTAATTCATTACTTTCATGAAACTATATTCCTCCCTAACATTGGACACAATCCTTGCATGGTCACTGGTCAAATGCCCATCTTTTGAAAGTGATGGTAAGTGAATTACTACATGGAGTGGTGTTACCATTTTGATCCTACAAATGCTCCCGATGGCTCCATGTCAATGAGCCTGTTTGACAAGCAACACACTCTCACAAGAATGAAAGTTTAATAATCTGCCTCATAAAGCCACAAAGTAATAGGCCTATTGACAGTGCTTTAAAACAAATCTAAAGAGATCAGTTTGCATCGAGGAAAAGCTGAATTCTCTCAGTGAAGAGCAAGTGCTAATTCACGGAGTCTCCTTAGGAAAGAGCCCAGGTAGAGTAGTGGATTATGTTTTGGGCTTCTAACCATAAAGTCAGCAGTTCTAATCCACCAGCTGTTCCTTGGGTGGCAAGGAATTCGGGTTGGTTTGGTTCCCGTAGCAAAGCAGTTCATTGTCTTCCTACTATAATTGCTTCTAGGCTAGTTCACCAATCGGCTACCCTAACTATTCTATTGTCAGGCGCTTGCAAGGAGAAAATTCAATATCTGTCAATCAATAGCATGGCCATTTTTATCTGTTGTGAACTAAAAACGTGGTGGGAAGTCTGGAAGAGATGTGCGTGAATTGAGGAGGGGCTTAAAGAACATCGGATGAACAGACATCTGTTGAAAGTCTTCTGTGTTGTAGACATAGTCTAAGGATGAAAGGAGGACTTGAACACTAGGAGCAAGGGGGAGGAGGCCAGCCCAACCAAGCAGAGGGGGTGTGATAGAACATGGTAGGACATGCCATTGCATGGGGGCAGGATGGAACTGGATTGCAGAGGAGCTTGGATTCTGAGCTGATGAATTGGGCCTGGTACTCTCAGCATCGAGGGGCCTGCTGGTTTCCTAAACAGAAACATGGCCTAAGCAAAGTAGTTCCAGAATATGAGGGAGCCTGCTCCCTCTGTGTTAAGATAGGACTTCAAGCCCTGGTGGTGTAGTGGTTATGCATTGGGCTGCAATCCAAGTGGTCAGCAGTTTGAAACCACCAGCAGCTCCTTGGGAGAAAGAATGGGTTTTCTCCTCCAGTAAACAGTAACAGCCTTGGAAACCCGTAGAAGGTCAATCTGAGTCAGCATTGACAAGATGGCGGCAAGTTTGGTTTTGGGTCAAGCCACAGTGTAGGTTGTTTTTAGAAAAGTGTTCTCTCTTCTGAGCTTAAACGGGAGGATTCTAGGACACACGCTTATGGAAATAGTGAATGCTAACAAGTCTAGACTGTGTGCACCACACGTTGCTCTGTACTATAGGTATCTTCCTTCCTTTGTCCTCGCACCACTAAGGAAGGGTTATAAGGATCATAGTCTCATCTTCCAGGTGGACCCCTGGTGGCATAGCATTTCTGTATAGGACTGCTAACCACAAGGTTGGCAGTTCAAAACCACCAGCCACTCTGAGTAAGAGGAGGCTTTCTACTAGTGTAAAGAGATACAATCTCTGGACTTGTGGGTTACAAGGGCAGGTCTGCTCTGTCCTGATAGGGTTACTCTGAGTCCGAATTGACTCCGTGGCGGTGATTGAGTTGAGTTGCTATTCCAGCTGGAGAGAATGCTGCTTCTGGAAGCAACTTGCCCAAGGACACACAGAGAAGATGCCCAAGAGGAAGTGGGGACTCGCCTTGTAGCCGTGGTCTCACGGCCTCTCCCAGAGCCTTCAAAATGATCGCTGGATCATCTCCATATCTGGTTGTAGCTGACTGTCTAACTCTCAGTCTCAACTTGACCAGACTGTTCTCCGAAGTGGCAGGCACGACAGGGCCCCAGTACGTGAGCAGAGCTGACAGCCAGACTCCCATGCTGGGGCGTGGACTGTCTTTCCCTCGAACCTGGGACATTTGGAACAGCCCTTTCCAGACCTTAAAATCATAGTGATGGTCTAATAAAAATGGAAACCAAGCGAAGTGCGTGGACCGCATCTGCAGCTTGTTTTCTTTGTAAGCATTGTACATTTTCTTCCACGCACATGGCATACCATCTGTGTACTTTTTCCCCCCACTAGGGGCCCAAGATCTGGATCGTATCCGACTCTCCACCTACAGAACAGCATGTAAGCTGAGGTTTGTTCAGAAGAAATGCAATTGTAAGTATGCCAGTCTTTTGAACTCATTACCACCCCCCACCAAACCTATCCTTTATATTTGTTACCATGTTGACGAAAACTAGGTTGTTTTTGCAAGTGCTGATAAAAATGTTTACATAATAATAGCAAATTAATTATCGTACACAAACGGCAGAAAGAATAATTTTACATACTTCTGACACCTTAACTATTCTTAACAACTAAAGGATTCCAATGGAAGAGCTTCTGGATGGGATGGGAATGTGATCTTCTGCTTGGCTTGATTTAAATCTGGATGGGGATTATCCTTTCTTCTTTTTTGAGCCTGTTGATTGGAAAATGGAATGGCATCAAATTGGTTTCCAGGAACACTGTAAACTGTCAAACGTGTGTTTCCTTGACAAGGATAGGAAAATGGTGACAAGCTCTAGGAATCCTTTGAATTCCTTTCTGAACCGACTAAGTAAGGCTTTCGGAAGGGAGTACTCTGAATCCCGGGCTGATACACATCTTTATAAGCCCTTGCCTTCCAATTGAGTGCTCCACACCCTCCCAGAACCACCTGGAAGGTCATCCCGAGCGGCTACAACCAAAAGGTTGGAAAGCCCCGGGGAGCACAGTGGTCCTCCACACATGAGACCTGTTCGAAGGCAAATAACAGCAACAGAACCAGACAATGACCAACATGTGCCAGATTCAGGCAGCAGCAGGAAAAAGAGAATAATACGTTAAAACAAAGCAATCTGCCCCAGCTTCCCCCCACCCCCCCCAACCTTAAATGTTAGCCATCAAAGCTAGATCACAAATAGCAATTGAGTCGACGCTTCCCTCATATTACTGCCACCCATTTGTCTTAGAGAAAAAAAAATGTACTGTTCATGTGTATGAATTTATTTTATTTTGATGAAACTGACTGCTGTAAATTATTAATAATTCTTCTCATTTTCTAATTAGAGATTGATTTTTTAATTATAATATTGTCCCGAATATCTGTGCATAGTTCTTGAATAACCAACATGAGGAGTCAACTCTTGGTGCATGTGAAAACTAGCCGTGACCTCCTCTTTATTGACCCAGCCGCTCCTGCAGTTGCTTAAGCAAGGCCCTGGGCAGCCACCCCCAGAGCAGCATTTTAGAACAGCAGCTGCCTGTGCGTCTGAAGACGGTGATGGCGCATCTATTTCCCACGCTGTTTATCTGCTGCTTATTCTGCTGTCCCATTGACTAGAATTAGGGATGACGTATGGAAGAGGAGAAGAGCACAAAGGCTGGTCAAATGTCAAAGATGTATCTTGATTCCTCCCAATAAGCTGAACCTATTCCAAACCGGGTGAGCGCACACCACCAGAGATTGTGGGGAGGCTCGGAGTTGGCCTGTGTGGCCCTGGGTATTGAGAAGCCAGTGGAAGCCCTTCCCAGTGCTCATGTGAGGGACCAAAGAGAGGTCCTACAGAGGAAAGTCCCTATTGAAACACAAGGAAGATTGTCCATGTGTTGAAAATCTCCAGGATTGAAAAGTGATGGGTTTCTCCCGCTTGCTTACCACACCTCACCACTAGAATAGCCCTCCAAGTCCGTCGTGTGTGTGTGTGTGTGTGTGTGTGTATGTATGATTGTGTATGCGTGTGTGTGGGGAGGGGGGGTGGCAGGGAGTTGGAGTGGCTGCGCTGTCCCTGTAAAGCTTTTTCATAGCAGACACCTTCTTAGGTTCTTGTCACTCGGACTACAGTTTTCAGAATAACTTAAAAATGACAAAGATTTTCTTATTTGTTTCATAAACTTTCAGTGAGAGTTACTGTGACCTTGAACTATTGCAGACATGAAGAATGAGAGCGCATCTCTCGGCAGAGAGGCCTGGTAGACATTTCTTATTGATAAGCGGTTACACATGCAGAGGATGAAGCCACCTAAAATCACACTTTATGAATCACTACGCACTTGAAAAAGAGGCGCAGCCTCTCAATAACAGAAATGGTTCCAGCTGACATAGAGAAGTAAATGATGGGGTATTATGATAATAAGTGCTTTCAATTAAACTGGGGTCAAAAACGAGGGGGGTAATACATAGCTGCACGCGCACGTACACCTGTCGTCATCCAGGGTCCTCCTCAGAGTTCTCCCCACAGGCGCGCAGACGGTTTTGTGCTCCGTGCCTGTGACAACGTCCACATTTCCTGCTAAAGTATGGAACAAACCCAGATAAATGATAGAACTAAATATTCCATTAGCACCAAGAAAAGTATTTTGAGCATATGGCAATATTTTCGAAAAGTAGGTGAATTCTAGAAACTGAGGGGTAAAGAAAATAAACAACCCCACCAAAGAAACGCTGGAAGGGCAGTGTGACTTTCTGCCATTGACATGCAGACACTAGACCAAGTTTCAGTTGTCCATTTCCACGTGTGAAAAAGCCCTTGAACACATTTGATATGAATGCTGACTGCAGAGGTCACTTGAAGCACATTCAGCGGCCATTGCAGCAAGTCAGCGCCTTCTACTGCTGCCTGGGACACCCACAGGAGCAGTTCCGCCCTGTCCCCGGGGTCGCTACAAGTCACCATCGATGGGAAGCCAGGGAGTTTTGTTTTTTGAGTACAACAAATGTTGAAAGCTATTAATTTTTTATATCTTTTTTGGATTTTTTTAAATCATCTTATTAGGGGCTCATACAACTCTTATCACATTCCATACATACATCAGTTGTGTAAAGTGCATTTGTACAGTCATTGCCCTCATCATTCTCAAAAAAATTTCCTCTCCACTTAAGCCCCCGG